AAAGCTTGCTTCTTTTAGGTGGAGCCAGAGCACTGGGCTACCAACTGGAAGGTTAGCAGTTCAAGCCCTTCCAGAGGCGCCTTGGAGGAAAGGCCTGGTGAACTACTTCCCCAAAGTCACAGTCTTGAAATCCCTACGGAATCCAGTTCTGCTTTGACATACATGGGGCCACCATGACTTGGACCTGACTCGACACCACCTGGTACCCTTGTAAGGACTCAACCCAAATGCCCTTTTGATAATGTAGGCTCTCTGTTGTATATGGAGAATGTGAACGATCCTCTCAGGTCTTTAGTAGTTTCCTAGCATATAGGCATATCTGTACCCTCCACTGACATCTCCAGGGAGCCATCTGCATATCTCTAGAGCTCTATATAATTCTCTATGACACCACCTTGTCCCCCCAAATTACTGGACATGTGATGTGGCTGCAAGCTGAGCAAGAAGACTGGGCTTTCAACATTTTAAACCTAGCATTTCTGTTGGTCCCAAATCCAGTCCCAAAATTACTGGTCAAAAAGGAGCATGGTTCTAATGCCCAGTAAAGGACGAGAGGAGCTAGCCCTTGGGCCAAAATGACTGTCGCAGGGTATGAGAAGAACATAAAGCTATGTGGAATACCATATTGCAAACCAACTTGAACCTGAACCATTGCTTCTGAGGATGTTCCCTGTGCCAGCACATTTGCACCCATGTCATTGAAGACCCCAGTAAGGGCGTCCATGAACTCATGGATAAAGTCAAGGTGGACATCCCGTGTCCATCTTGAAGAGCAAAGTCCCAGGCCCAGGCTGTGAACCATGACCAAGTTCCCAGAGAACTTGGAGAAACCATCAGGCATTTACTGGACCTGGAGCAAGCCTGCTGGTCGACACGGTGGACAAGGCACCAGAAGGGTGCCTGAAGCCCCCATGCCTGTCGAATCCAAGTCACGTCCACTGGACTTGTGAGAGTCACCCCTGGACAACAGACACCAGCGAGAAGGTTCCCCGTGTTGTTCACTCTGGGGAGTCCCCAGCTGTGGGGCTTAGCCAGCTCCTGTTCTGTACCTGGTGCTGCTATAACTCATATCCCATAAGCCACTACCTCAGAAGAGCAGGTCCATGTTCTCCAAGTACAAATTCTAGGGGAAGGCCCTGTTCTCTTGGCGCTGGAGGATAACTCTTGTCTCTCAACTTCTGCAGCCCTGGGTTCCTTGGTGAGCTCATGTGTCCACAGTCTTCCCTCGTTTGTCTTTCCTTCTGCGTCTAATCTGTTCTTTATAATTAGATTTAGGACATGCCTACAGTGGTGTAGTCTCAACATAACAAAAGAACCCTGTTTCCAAGTGGGATGACATCACAGGCATTAGGATTCTAACATGTCTTTTTGGAAGATACAGTTCAATCCATGACAGCCCTCAAAACAACAGCGATACAAACACAGAGAAATCTTTCTCACCTGCTACCCTGAAACCCCCACCAAAAAAACAGTCTTGACTTGGCAGCTGGATCCTTCAGTAATTGCCAAACTGTCCCTGCGTCCTGAATTAGGTCTGTCCATCCATGAAGGCCAGAGTGCCAGGAGTGTGAACACACCCCAACCTTTGCAACCTGGTCCGCATCTCATGTGCACCAAGCAGTTCTCCCTTCACATCCCTCATTCGGGATAGGCTTTGCACCCATATAACACAAAAACATGTGACTGAAACTCTTGACAGTAAAACACCTCAGGCACCGGTCCAGCCTGCACACCCATAGGCACACTGACTGGCCTTCACTGCTGTGCCAGGGGTCTACCACCCGTGCCAGGGCCAGGCAGGAAAGCTGTTTTCTTCAACTCAAAAGACCCAAAAAAAAAAAAAAAAGGCAACCTGCTCCTTTCAAAAGGTGAGAAGAAATCGTAAACAACTTCTTGAAGTTGAACCCAAAGGACTCCCTGAGACTACTGCGCTAAAGTAAACCTTTGAACTTTGATCTGGAACTATCCCAAGGTCAACTTACAGCAAACTAATAGAATGACTCACAAAATAAAGAATATCACCTGTGCTATTCAACTCTGTGAAACCAAAGGTTATCACCTGCTTTAAAAAAAGAAAAGATGAGAAGGTGAAGGAGAAGAGGGAAACTAGATTAATTGGAAACAGAGCAACCAGAATGCAAACAATGAGGTCACTCATGCATTGCCAAGAATATAACCAATCCTACCAAACAATTTGTGTAAAAATTGTTGAGTGGGAACTTAATCTGTTGTGTAAGTGTTCAGTGAGACCATAATCAAATATTATTTACAAAAAAAAAAAAAAAAGTGGCCAGGAGGCAGTCTTACAGAATTTGTCCTTTGGTTGCTTAAGTGATTATATATTCCTGAGTGTGTTTGTGTACATCCCAAAACAATAATAACAAAAAAGAGGGAATTGAAGCAAATATTGTTGAATGATGATGCATGGAGGAGATTTGTAATCATTGCAATGAAACGATGAGTGTAAAACCGATGATGTTCTCCCATGTAAACTATCACTCAGTTCACAACTTAATAAAAAAACCCAAACACTTCTTGGAAGGACTACTGGAGCCCCAGCAGCTATGATACAGGTTCAATAGTTCCAGAATAACACCTGGCTCTGGACACAGTAAGACAGTGCTTGTTACCTGATTTGCTAGGGCCTGTGCACTTCCATATCTGTTTGCAGATTGCTCTTCATTTGGAACGTTGATGTATGACTTCGTCATCTGGTCAGTAACAGAGACAATGGCAAAGCTTAAGAGAGCTTCAAAGAATTCCAGGAAGACCAGCTGCAATGAGAGCAAACAATCATCTTCATTCTGACCTACAGGGGGACCAGAGATTCCAGAGAATGTTCAAGCAACAGGTACAGAACGTTTTGCAGTTTTAGCAACAGCATTTAAAAACATATTGCTTGTATATATGTTCTATCATGCGCTCTGGAGTTCATTAAGTCTTTATTAAGTCTTTGGTTAAAACCTACCTCATCTGCCAAAAACCTACCTAACCTACTGCCATAGAGTATTTCCAACTCATAGCAACCCTACAGAACAAAGTAGAACTGCCCCCATAGGGTTTTCTGAATGGAGCCCTGGTGTGGTGCTGTGGGCTAATGCGCTGGACTGCAAAGTTGTTTGAATCACACAGTCAGTAGTTCAATCTCACCAGCCGCTGCTTGGAAACCCTATACAGGGTCAGTCGCTATGGGTCGGAACCTTAACAACAACAATCTTTACAGAAGCCAACTGTTTCATCTTTTTCCCCATGGAGTGACTGGTGGGTTTGAACTGCCAACCTTTATGGTTCGTAGCCCAACATTAAACCCACTGGCACCATCAGGGATCCAGTCTTTGAATGGAAATGTCAAAAATAATCTTCAACAAGAGTATTCCCTTTTTATCCTGAGACTATGACCCTTAGACATCCTCCAGGTCTGGAACTGAACTCACACCGTTGCTCAAGTTTCAGCCTGATGATAGGAAGGCCTGTAAGGTGAACAGCAGCTCCAGGGAAGCATGGACAGTCCTTAGATCAACCAACCATCTGAAGTAAAAAAGGAGACGAACGGAAACCGGAAACACGGAGGGGACCGGAAGGGTGCTGCTACATTGCAAGGACTGAACCCGTGCCACAAAGCCACACGTGTGTGAACTGTTGGACAGAAAACCAGTTTTAAAGTGCTCCCTTTTTTCCTGAACAGGTTTGGGAAGTGGCACCTGTAAACTCAAACAGCAAGCTCACGTTGTAAACGTGTTAGTGCTGCCCAGTGCCTGATGTCCGGCTCGGCTTGGGCGCAAGTCTCCCACCTGTCCTGTGTGTCCACTCATCCAACTCCAGCTGCTGCTTTGACTAGGTCTCATTGGTGGAAGAAGACGTCTGTGTTGTATGAGATGTCACACAAGAGCAGGCCATAGACCGCCACTTCTTGTGCTTCTGCCCGAACCTGGACTCATCCTCCTGGGACTTTACCTAACACCCAGACCCTTCCCCCTCAGCAGTCCCCAAAGCCTTGCAAACCAAGAACAAAACAAAAAACCCAAGCTTATTACAGTTGAGTCTATTCAAACTCATGGTGACCGTGTGTGTCAGAGTGTAACTGCTCCACAGAGTTCTCAGTGCCTGATTTTTTCTTTTTTCTTCCTTTTTTAGAAGAGGATTGCCAGTTCTTCAGCAGCACCTCTGGCTGGACTTCAGCCGTCCTTCAGGTTAGCAGCTGAGCACATTAACCATTTACATCGTCCATGGGCTTCAGTTGCCTTGTAGCAGTCTCAAACTCCCTCCGCTCTGCCATGAGAAACTGTGGAAGCCGCAGACCTAACTTGGCATCGTGTGGCCTCGGACAAGGTGCTTCACCTACAGTGTGCTCACCTGTACTAGGTGATTGTCACTTGCTCTGTTGTAAGGATAAAGTGCGACGGTGTGTGGAAAAAGGTGTCCTCACCAGTAGCTATGTTGCATAAAGGCATGTGCCCAAGCACTCCCTGCCCCACAGAGGGGCTACAGCCAACAGCCTTGATGTTTCTCTCTCTTAAGAGGCATGAGATACATCAAGGAGGTTTAGGTTTTGGGTTTTGTTCCCACATCTTGTCCCTCCCCCCAGAGAGAGCCCACACCACTTAGCAACATCCATGTTCTTCTTGCGGGAGATGACGTGCAAACTGATCCTCAGTTTATGACTCCACCCTCCTCTCTGTGCCCCAGCTTACGGTCTTGCCTCTCTGCCATATGAAATCAGCCGACAGCTTCTATTCAAAGCTGAAGCTGTTAGTATGGTTTTAATGAGAGGAAAAGTGAACCCTACAAACAGATGTTCTGTTTGTAGAGTTGCTGGTGGGCAGCAGACTCAGGTGGCTGGGCTGACCCCTGCAGGGTGGTGGAGACTGACTTCAGAGAGGTTTGAATATGAAGGCTATGACTTGGAGCTACCTGTTAAAAAGCCATGTAGGCATTTAGTGGGAGCGCTAGGATGCATGTCTGGGGTCTGGGACAGTGGTGATAACGACTTATGAATTGTCCACATAGTGAACGACATTTAAAACCAAGAGCGTGGCTAGGAACAAGAAGACAGCCTAGGCGTGTACCCAGACCACTCCATGTTGAGTTTGGGCAGAGCAGAGGAGTCCATAAAGCAGTCCGAAAAGGAGTCAGCAGTGAGGTAAGGCGGAAACTGAGAGAAGGGGGACCCTGAGAAGAATCGGTTTCAAGAGGGAGGCAGGTGAGTGGTTGCCAGGGGACAAAGGGTGGGTACAATTAATAGGTGGGTTTCTTTTTGGGTGATGGAATTGCACGTTTTAAAATGGTGCCTTTTGTGTTGTGTATGTCATTGGAGTACATCTATATGTAACCAAGCATTTACCTTTCAACTTTTTAGACATGTACAATTCATTGGCCTTGGTAGTGTCTGTTATTTTGTTCAGTCATCACCGTTAACAGAAGCAGTGTTGCTGAGCAGTGAGTCACCATCCCCTGCTTGCACCCTCTGACTCCCCTGCCCCTAGGAAACACTCAACAACTCTGATCTCGTTAGATATTTCCTATAAACGGGATCGTACCATATTTGTCCCTCTGAGTGACTTCACTCGGCATGTTTCTTAGGTTCACCCTGTGGTGGCTTGTCTCTGAACTCCATTTCCCTGTTGGGTCTGTTGTATGGATGGGCCGCATTCTGTGTGGACATCCGTGTGTTGAGGGACATGATGGTTGCTTCTGATCCTTGGCTGTTGCGAATAGTGTTGCTGTGAGCACAGCTGTTCAAGTCATTGTGTTCACGTGCTCTTGGTTCTTGGGGTACATACTACACACCACAGTGTCTGTGCCATTTTTCCAAGCCCACCAGCAGTAGATGAGAGTACCGATTTCCCGACATCCTTACCAACAGCCGTCTTTATGTGAATGAAGTCACATTCCACTGTGGTTTCAATTTGCAGTCCCCTAATGACATGGAGGGGACTCCTGGTGTGGCACTGTAGGATCAGCACCAGACTACAAACTACAGGTCAGCAGTTGAAACCTGCTGCCTGCTCCTTGGAAACCCTATATAGGGTCGCTATGAGTTGGCATTGATGTGACAGCACTTCACAACAACACTAATCATCTTCTCACGTACTTATTGGCCACTTGTATTTCCTCTCTGATGAAGTAATCTCTTTTCCTTGGCCTGCTCTTGGATTGGCTTCATATTTGGTGGCTAGGACAGGGTAGAGCTAGCTACACCATAGGATTTCCAAGGATGTACATCTTTAACAAGCAGACTGCCATAACTTTCTGCTATGGAGCAGTTGGTGGAATTGAACTGCCAACCTTTTGGTTAGCACCTATGCACTTTAACCACCGTGTCTTCAGTTCTAGGGGTTCTTTATATATTCTGGATTATCAGACCTTTATCAACAGGTGGTGGTGGTGAAGTGCCATCAAGTCGGCTCCGACCGATAGATGACCTTGTAGAGAGTTTCCGAGGAGCAGTTGGTGAGCTTGAACCACCAACCTTGCGGTTCAAAGCGACTTTGCAGTCCGGCGCATTAAACCCACAACACCACACCAGAACTCCTTATCAGAAATACAGTGCCCTAAAATATTCTTCTAATATATGTTATCGCTCCATTCTGTTGATAAAGTCGTTTCACAAACCAGAGTTTTAAGGTGGGATGCGGTCCTTTCATTCTTATCTAAGAATCCGTTGTTACAATCCTGTTCTCGAAGCGTTGTGCTTCTGTCTTCTTTTGAGAATTGTATGGTTAGCTCTACTTGTTATATTTAGAGCTTTGATCCATTTTGAGTGAGACTTTGTATTTGGTACAAGGTATGGGGCCAGGTTCATTTATTATTTTGGGGAAATCCAGATTTCTGAATACCCCACTCACTTACCTACCCACCTCAACCCTCCACTGGCTTCATTTAGCACCTTGTGGAACTCAGTTGATCATGGATACACAGAAATCCTGGTTTGACGCTGTGATTTAAAGCACTGGATCACAAGGTTGGTTTTGACCCACAAGGTCGGCAGTTCAAACTCACCAGCCACTCCTTGGAAATCTGATACAGGATTGCTATGAGTCAGAACTGACTCGACAGCACTTATCATACAGGTTTATATCTGGACTGTGCATTTTACTTAATAGGTTTGTATGTGTCAGTATACCAGTAATGAACTGCTTTAATCACTGAAGCTTTGTGATATGTTTTGAGGTCTGGAAGAATGAATCCTTGTACTTTTGTATTACAAAATTGTTTGGACTATTTGGGACCCCTTGCTAATCCATATAAATTTGAGGATTGGCTTCTCAGTTTCTGCAAAGAAGGTGGTTGAAATTTTGATGTGGATAGTGTTACATCTATAGATTTCTTTAGGTAGTATTGACATCCTAACAGTATTTGTCTTTCAACCCATGAGAGATATCATTGCTGACATCAGATGAAAGCAGAGAATACCAGAAAGAGTTTTACCGGTGCTTTATTGACTATACCAAAGCTTTAAATTATGTGGATTGTGACAAGCTATAGACAACATTGTGGAGAATCAGTATTCCAGAACACATAATCGTGCTCATGAAGAACCTGTACATAGACCAAGAGGCAATCATTCAAACAGAACAAGGAAACACTGGATGGTTTACAATTAGGAAAGATGTGCACCAAGGTTGTATTCTTTCTCCACACTTACGCAGTCTGTATGCTGAGCAAATAATCTGCTACACAAGACCTTTTTAAAGTGTTGAAGATCAAAGACCTCAGTTTGAGGACTAAGTTGCACCTGACCCAAGCCATGGTGTTTTCAATAACCTCATAGTCT